AGGATCCATGTTTGAAGCTCGGGGATTTTGTACATAAATGGCAGCCAGATCTTGTAAACAGTCCTTGCACGGAAACTTTATATCAGAATTCAAATGAACAACAGATCACAAAAATATAAACTGTTTCCCTCACATTTTCAGCATCAACAATGCAGCATAAATAATACAGTGATAATGCAAGTGGAAATAGTGACGGTTATTTTCTGTTTGTTAATAAAAGGTCACTGAACTGCGAATGCTTTAGAGAAAAACTACGCCTCGGAAGTTATTTAAATTAATTCATCGAATTAATTAAACGAATTAGGTAGGTAGACCTAATTGCGTCTTCGCTTGATATGCACAATTCATAAATAATTGTTTTATGGTAGATGTGGAAAACTCCCCCACACTTATAAAGAGATCACGAATGATAGGAATTATGACGCCAGCGTCTACTTCAGAGGGCTGAGGTACGTCGCGACGTCACCAAAAGTTGCTGTCAATAAGCTGCTTACAGCAAAAAGTTGAGCTTTTATAAAATTGTATGTAAATTATTTATGTTACTCGATATATAACTTATGTAACTTTTGGTACGACATTGTCGTACTATAGGCTAGAGACAACTTTTCACACCTTTATAGTCACATGTCCTGGTCTTTGCCGTTTCTGTAAAGTAAACGAAACAAAAGAAATTTCAATCTAGAATTTATTGTGTTTGAAAGTATTGCATTAAAAGTAGAAACCAAATTGATCTTCAAATCATATAGAATTGGATGGACAGAACATTTATCGTGATTGACAGAGTAGAACTGAACACAGAGTTTTAGTCGAAAAACGTGACGGGAACAGGCTATATTGAAGATGTGGGCGCAGATGGGATACTTATATTACAAACGTAACTTTTCGATATTTTGTTCGATGGTGTGGGCATGATTAATTTTGGATCGATAGGACAATTAGACGGTCTCTTGTGAATGCCACTTCCATTTGACTCTACATAAGCTAACAGTTATTACATTACTTAACATAATATTAAGAAACCATATACATTAGGCCTTGTTAAAACGGATTATCCATCAGTCACTCATGAATTTCAGGATATCTGTTCTTATTGCAAGCTGCAGTTAAACAAGAGTTACTTGTGTCAGAAACACTTTCGAAATAAAATCGACTTTTCGGATGTATCTCTGACCCTTTCACCCTGCCAAACCCAACTGCAGTCCCCCAACATTTACAACCCTGTATGACCCGCTGGTGTATGTACCTGCATGCAACACGTTTTGCCACATCGTACGCAGCAGCCACACCGCACACAATGCAATATGTCTTCCTACCTACCCCCTCAAACCATCACGACCCCTCCGCGCACTCATGGTCATGTTCGTCCATGCTTGTGCAATCTTCGTGCGCAACAAGCCAGTGACGTATTGACAGGACTACCACAACTACCCAACTGCGTGGTAAGGGTACAAAAGAAATCAGGGTAATTACGAAATTTTTATATTCTGAACTTTGATGTCGGACACTGGGAACGTTTCGTGAAGACCATCCTCGCAGGGGCATGTTGGTAACTGTATCGGTCTGTCCGTTAGTTTCTCTTAAGTTTGTCCACTCCTTATAAAATGCCACTGTAAAAAATGCGAATTGTAAAGTGAAATATATCCAAGATTGCATTATCATTGACGAATATCTTGATTCAACTATGGATGAATATTTTCAGCTTCGAATATATTAGAGTCTATTTTTTCTCGTACACTAAAAATGAAAGGTGGTGCCTTAGACGATGTCTTAATCAGACTACCGGAAGCTTTTGTACACAATCTTCGTTTTCTTGCTGATTGAATATCAAGTTCTGGACAGAATATAAATTACAGCATTACATACTTCCGGAATGGAGAAAAAAGGACGCACTTTGGGTCAAATATGCTAGTAACGTCTTAATTTCCACATGGCAAAGTTATTTTGGAAACGGCTGTACGTGGGTGTGTGCTTACTTTTTCAAAGTACCCAGAATGTGTTTTCTCTGACAGAGGGAAAGAACCTGTCGCCGAGTTACAAGCTGATCTTGACTGATGCTCTAACCTCGGAAATACACAGGCCTACTCTTCGGAGTACACTCACGCTATGGCCCAGGGAATTCGTGCACAGCAAAAGTCAAATGTATTCTTACATCACATCACGAGAGACGACTTTAGCAGGACAATCAAGGAAATAAACGCAACAATGGTATAAGAAACTGTGGTATCGAAGGTGTTTCAACAATATGACCCAAGGTAATTATTTCAGCGATTTGATACATTATTGTTGCATCATTGTAATTCAAGGTCATTGCAAAAGTGTGATCCAAGAACACTTGTAACAATGTGATGTGAAACGCGAAAGTTAGACAGCATGGACAAGCATGTCAGCTTAAGCTAAACCATAATGATCTCCAAAAAGCTTGTACGCTCGCATAAATATTCATCAAAGGGACGTCTCAAAATAAAGCGGAAGATACTTTATCACATGAGCAATGTCAGCGAGAATGTAAAATGGTTGCAAGTTTTTCTTCAGATCGCGGAAAGTCGTTACATAATTATTACAGTTCAAACGAGTTCGTCTCTTAAACAATTACGGAACAACATACGCCTACAAACATTAAAAGAAGTTGGATCGGAAACATCATGTAACACACCTTCGCAAGGAATGATTTATGTCTAGGGATGACGTGCGTATTAGCCTATTGCCGATAGAGGTGAGTTCAGTGAGTTATGTTTGTGTAGTGAGGATTTCTCGACAGATGTTGTTGGCAGTTAATGTGTCACGTGTTTAATATGATGGCTGTGTGATTCACAGAGGATTCAGCTGTGAAATTATACGAATTCGTATATGACTGTCAGTAACTCACAACCTATACCCACGAGACAATGTTGAAAGATCGGACTCCAGAAGGGAAACACTAAGAAGATCCGATATACTTAGTTTCGTTAATTAACAACGCTGTTTAAAATTAATAGTTGGTGTAATTTAGAATGAGATTTGAAGATGATCATGAATGGTGAGTGAGTGAGAGGTTTTGGGAGGAGTTGGTTGTTTCCTGCTTCTACGACTGTCTGGAGTGAGTGACAGGCTGACTGGCTTAGTAAACCGTCAGTCAGAATAGTCGGTAACCCGATGAAGATTCGAAATGAACACTCCTGAATACAAGTTCAGATAATTCTCATCAGTAAGACAATTGAGGCTCATACATTTTGCATGAGCTCATTTTGGCTTTGTGACACGTAAACATTATATACCTTATAATTAAAATGTGGGTACTACGAAAAGGTGTAACATAGCTTAGTAGGGAAATCGTGTAGACTAATGTTGTAGCCTACAGAATGTTTTCATTGTTAGCATTTCATTACCTCGTGCTCACTGGTTAGGAATTCAATTGTTCTCTATGCAAGAGAGGATGTAACGAATTTATAATAATCTAGATTATTCGTGTACTGTACCAAAGCCTGATCTTGTATAAGAGACGAACCCTATCTGAAAGGTGTTGTTTCTGATGACAGAACAAAGAAACACCTTCTCATCAACCCGTTAATACTTTAAGCCAAAATTATACAGAATAGGACATTATTTCTTCCTCATTACGTCAGAAATATATTCTTTAATTCTGTACTACAAAAACCTACATTTCAAGATGTATGTATATATCTTTTATTATTAATATATATCTAGTGTATGAGTGCATTATAACTGAAGAAAAGGAAATGCATATGTCCTATATCTAATAAGCCTGTATTATTTGTAGGATTATATAGGCCTAGTGTCCAGATACATATTTATTGCCATTTCCTAAAAATGAAGCACTTCGCCGATTGCTAGTCTGAAAAGCGTGTGAATTATCTTCATTATGGGTGCGATAATAAATGCTATAATTTATTTCTTAATTAATGATTTTATTTAGTTTCCACTACATGTGACTCATCCTCTTGCATGATATAATGAGACACGATCTATGATTCTCTGCTTGACCTGATCGGTGATGCATTATTCACGATTACACACCACCTAGCTATAATCATTTTACAACGCTCTAGGAAGAGTTACTCTAGTTGTTCCTAGAGTGCAATTTTTATTTCAGTGTACACACGAGCTTAGAGAACGCTAACTAAAGTGAGCAGGCTCTAGATAGATTTTGCCCTGTAGAGGATACTAAGCATTACGTTGGAACCTAGTCAGAAATGTAATTAATACTCACATGATGACGTCGTACCACTTAGGCCAGCTGTGGTCGTAGTTGTCCAAATATACAGGCCTATGAACTTTCTTCTGGTGAAATATGCCCTCTACTTCTCTATCCTCTTTTGTAAGCAGCTCTTTTATTCTCATTCAGATGGCCGGAGCGACATAGACGGATATGTTGGAAGTAGCGTAACGGAGCCGGCAGGCCTACACGAGGCATTTTAGGGCATAATTGATGGCAGATTGGATTAGGTTCACAGAGACAGATGTAGGATTAGCAGGTAATGTGTTGCTACACGCTGCATTGTTTTCTGCCATGAGCACGCTTTTGAAATTCAGGGGTATGCAAAACTCTGAGCATCTGAGGCAAATGACTGAATTTTCTTTTTTATGTAGGGCAGAGTGCTGAAGCTGATAACCCAAAAAGTAGTGTATCTAACAGAGTTGGTTTTCAGTTCTCCTTTCATCCTATGCAATATGCGTTTCCTTTTCATAGTTTTTGAAATTAGCTGTACCGTTGTGATTGCTGCCTCCTTCGTCAGGGCGCCTGATGATGGAGACAGCAAGAACCACTGAAACAATTGGTGAACGTTTACAAGATTATACGTCGCTACAACCCAGAAGACAGCCATCTTCGTACTTATCGCCGTGAGAAACTCAAATCTAAACTGTACGAAATAAAAAAAATAATATACTTGGCTTATTTCTTTTTTTAGTGGCAGGTCCAATTTTTATTTCTGTGCAGTTTGTGCGTCTGAGCTTTTGGCAAAGGCAGTTTAAACAAATAACATACGGAAAACCGAAGATAGGTTTTACAGAAAATAAATGGTTCCCAAACTGACAGAAGAAAGTATATGGTAGTCGACGCGTAGAAAGTATTGGTACCTAGAATTAAATTAATGTGGCGAGTAAATTTGCTTGTATTTTATTAAAATTACAAAATCTGGAAAAACTCGTATTTATGCCTACGTGCATCAATGGGAAGATTGTTGTTAATGAACCGAAATGAAAAAAACAACACGAAGGAACTATTTTAGTTACTGAAGATGAACTGAAACCTGTCAGTTTTATAGAAAATGGAAATATTTACTAATCTTGGTTTACAACATTTTTGTCATATCAAACGAACAGCACTGTCACTAGACCTATAGTTATGCTTCTTTCAAGACTTGATATTTTTTAATAATATACCCGTAACTTCATTGAACTATAAAATATAATATGTAAAAGCCAGAGAAAAATAAACTGATTCTTGAGAAATTGAACTGATGGTGATACGTATTTTTTAGTTGAATTTATATTAATTTAGGTCAATCTTAATTATGTTTTAAACAGTTCCACGTACATATGTAAGAATCTATTCGACAGTAAATAAACTTCACCTTCCTTCATTCATTCATTCTTTCTATTTCTTACATGCACGTTGTAGTGAAGAGATAGCAATTTCCTTATGTTAAGACGCTTATGTTAATGTTTCTTGATCATAATGTTGCCCTTGGAGGTACTTGGCTATTGTGGAAAATTTTCTTTCCGTGCTGAGGTTTTGAAGTTGTAAAGCTATTTATTTTGGACGATTCGATTGTAAAACCCCTAAGGTTTTTGCTGGGGTGTTTAGATCAGGGCGCGCTATTTATATTTACGTAGTTAACATCTAGCAGTTGTCTAGCAATGCTGAGACATCGTTTTGGGGCTGCGTGCGCGACTGTGCTGAGTATGATGTGTGGATAAAGATGTATGAGGTTTGTCTTGAGTTGACATGTCAACCATTATATCTGGATTTGTCGTCTCTCGTCTGCAACTATTTCTTTTCTTCTTAATTTTCTTGCTTCTCAGCTTTATTTCGTACTTTGCTATTATTTTCAGGAGTTTATCTTTTATACCAGGTCGCGTGGTCTTTAAATCGAGTTAAATGAGAGAATCTATAGCTTTCGGCACCGAATTCCGAATATGGACGTTTTTAAGGTTGGAGGTAACTTACACCATATTTATCTTAAATATCTTGCAACTTTGGTGGGCTAAGCACACACTTAATTGCGTATCCTTCGATAGTCACTATTGCTCTGTACATACGAGAAAGGACATCAGGTCCTGTAAGGTGCTTTCGAAAGTGTGGCCTGTTTTTAACGCAAGGTTCTCTAAACGCCATTAACGAAACTTTGATGAGACTGGACCATTTCAGTTCTAACGACACGTCGTATAATGTTTAGTAAATACGAAAGGAATTATTCTTGGTGAGAGAACCAAGAGAAGAAGATCTATTTTGTCTGTTTACAAAAATGCATATGTACAATTTATAAGTGAAATTTACTTACAGGAAATGCTATTTTTTGGACAGAGAACCATGAAAAGATTTTTAATTTTTCCTATTTTGAAAATTTTGCACAAATTTCACGCGTCGTTAAATATTTTGAAACAAAAAGTTTTTAATTTTGACAGTATTAATTAAGCAACTGAAGATTACTTAACAATACAACGCGTAATCATATATATATATTTTCGATTTATCGTTGAATTTCAACGGGAATTGCTAACATTACAAGAGAAAGTGCAAGTTACAGCATTTTGATTGTAAAATCTCCACCTGGATGACAAAAGTATATGGGAGGATAACGTTTAAGTATATCTTATGAAGCTTTATTTTGAGGTTGAAAGTAAACTCAAACTGGCCCTGGAAGGCTTTCGTATTTTCATTGCTGGAAATTCGGTGTATGATACCATAATCTTAGTTAATAAGGTGACAAAATATACAATTATATTGTAATTTGAACACTTTAGATAATTAACTATACATGGAGCCTACAGTTTCTTTGCAAACCGCGAGGCATAATTCCATTTTTAACACCATTACAATAGAATAACTTACAGCGAGAAAAAGCTTGCAAAAAACGAACTGAAAAACAGCTTTCGTATTTCATGTTGTAGTTTAGGGCTGTGTTTCTCATTGCGGGAGCCCTACCCACCAGTGGCCGTGAAACGACTTTCCGGTTGTTTATAGTCTAATTAAAATATACAAATTTGTAACACATTAAATTGTAACATAAGAAGTAGTTCATGTACACGATCACTATGGCCACGTGGTGTAAGGCCTGAGTTTTAACTGTTCGGGCACCGGAGTCATGGGTTTGAATCACGATCGAGTCATGGATGTGTGTTCGCTGTTATTCTGTTTTGAGGGTTGACTTCTTGCTTTCAAGGAGGCTTGTTATTTGTCGAATTAAGGTCCGAAAATGTGTCAGAAAAATTCTGTAGGAAGACCAAGTCTGAAAGTGGTCTATACTGTACACGCAGTTCGTAGATATCTCTAAGGCCAATTATCAATTGTTTTTGACATTGGTAAATAATATTTTAACTGATTTATATAGGTTAAGGTTGGGGGCTCGAACATTCATATTTACATTAAGCAAGCCTGAGAGTGAGAGAGTTTGGGAATTACTGGTTTAACAGGTATGAAACTGCAGGGTCATCGTTGTTGTGTTCCACAGATTTTGCTGTTGCGGTACAGAATGTACAGGCTTCTAGGAACTCTAATGCACATCACGGAATTTGTAATGCGGTACAAAGTAAAATGCCTTACACTGCTGTATTTGTGTACTGGAGGTCCACGTAAAAATTTGCATTCCAAAACTTGCTGCTCTCCTGTACCTTGTCTCGTATTTTGAGGCGGTTTGTGGGTGGATGGATTTATGTGGTCCACGCAGTTTGCTGACTAGACTACAGCCTCATGTCAAATTGATTCTGATTTGGTACCCCGTCGTTTTACGTGAAGAAATCTTCGATGGGATATGTTATCTTGTTTATATTTCACTCACTAACGTCATCATCATCATCATCTATTGAATTTATAAATTCATGAAGAAACCATTATATGAAACGTGTTTAATAATACGTGGGAAATATTTTGTGATCAAACTTTACAATTTTATTCTCAGATTTCCTTTTCCCTTCCACTTTCTTCTAAATTTCTGGTGTCGTAATTACTAATTCATGGAACGGAGTCCTTTCTGAAAAGATAGTCACTCAGATATTCAAGAAATTATACGTAATTTTTATATCTGATGGTTATTACATTGTTTGCAGAAGGCTACTATTTAGTGGTCATCACCGTGAACCAGATGAATCCAGTCTATGCCTTCATGTACTTTTAAGATCCACTTTAATATTATCTTCCTCAATATGCATACGTATCCCAAGTGACATATTGCCCTCATTTTTTGCCAATAAAATGTTGCATGCTTTACTCAGCTCTTACGCATGCTACATGCCCCACCGATCCCATCCTACCTTATTTAAGAAGTTGTTACTGCCCATCCTGAAGTTACCTTAACGAGATCGAATTCCAGTCGGGACGACTAGTCTGTGTTCATG